TTGCTCTAGGTATTTTTGGAATTTTTTGACTTTTGCTACCGCCTGGAGTTTATTGTGGATTACATCCCTTCTTCAGGATTCCCGCTTGTTCTCTGGTCGCTTGCCTTTGGATACCTACCTGACTCCAGGATTTGGATACTCAGCACGCGGACCATATCACCAACCTCCATAACCCACCTCTCTCATCTTAACCCGGTGCCCCATCCACCAGGACTCCCCGCTTTCCTCCACCTATGCTCCCTCTCCTGTGCTCCCCTGGCTCTCAACCTGCTCCCTCCTCCAGCCAGCAAACTCACGTCCCACAGTAAGTTCTGCTGAACACCTCTGACTAAATGGACCTCTGAATCAGAATCAATGCTCACCTGTGTTCTCCCTCTTCCAGACGCTGAGCTGTCATAGCAGTACCTACCACAGACTTATCTGTGCACCCTCAGTTCCTTCTTTACAAATCATTTTTTTTACCCCCGTTCTTGGTCTGTGTTGCATTCTGCGTGTCTTGGGTTAGGTACCTTCCTCCAAACATGACAGAATCTTCCAGCCAAAACACTAACCCTGCAGACGCAGCACTGACCAATTTCTCTCAGACTTTCACAGCAGGAACAAGCCATACCTCAACTTATGGAACAACTCACCGCAGCCAACACCCGTTATCAGCAATTGGAAACTCTGGTTCAACAGATCCATAATCGTCTCTCCCAACCTGGGACGTAATTTTGGGGGGGGGGGGGGGGGGGGTTTTGGCGGGGTGGGGACCATTGGGACATGTCCCCCCCACTTTTTCAAAAGGCAGTTTTGGTCCCCTGCACTTTTTTCCGTCCAAAAACAATGTTACGCTCCATTAAATGGATTTGGTTGAGCACTAGGACCGAAACGAAACCGGTTTACTATTAGACCCGCCCAAAAGCTAATCTATTGGCTCTGCTGATACTTGCTAACGTATTATTGGCTGTTGCTGCTGTCACTCAAGTTGTAAACAGTCAGAACGTGCTCACGTTGTTTTGCTAGTTTGGAGCCGCTAGGGAACACCGGTACTGAGTCACATCGTCAACTAGACGCTGTGTAATATCAGAGCTCAGCTCAGCTTTCATTACATAACATTTGAATAAGTGTTCATTTGTGAGTCTTTGGTAGTTAGGCACAGCCAGGAGGCAGCATGTCAAGAAAACGAAAAGTGGATATAAGAGACTTCTTTCAAAGTCAAAACGTAAGTTGGACATGTGACACCCCTGCATTAAGCTCAGACTCACCTCCTCCTTCACACACATACTCAAAACTAACTTTTACAAACTCATCTCCTCCACATAACTGACTCCTCAGACACAATTTATTCGTATTATTATAATAATTATTTTTTTATTATTACTATTATCATCATAATTATTATTACTAGTAGTAGTAGTAGTAGTAGAAGTGTAACTTCAAAACTTTTATCATTTAACTTTATTGTTTATTGCAATGTATATTTTCACATTAAAAAGCTCTGAAAAATGAACAGTATCATCATCGTCAACAGATTTTTTTAAGCTTAATGTCAAAGATGTACACTTTTCATTAGATTTATCTCATTTTTTCCATTTATTTTTTGTGTGTTGAAATGCAACAACTGTTTAAACACTTTTAAGGGAAAAAACATATTTAATATGTTTTTATACACTCAAATGTTAGGGTGATGATCATGTGTAAAACATTAGTTCAGCATGTCCTCTAACACAGCAAATGAACAAACGGCCAGATCTCAGGAGGGACCGTTTATGTATAAATAATTTTTATACTTTTGACTAGGCCTGGGAATGTAACAAATTTTGCTGGACGATATTTTGTCCAACAAATTGTTGATGATAAACGATATTGTCAACATTATCTAGACCAAAATAACCACTAATATAATGTTAATATATCATAATAATGCAAGTACACCCTTTAAAATGCAACAAATAAACCTTCATTTAACATTGAAATGTCCAGAACCAGAACTTCTAAATGAATAAAAATAACAAACAAAAATTGAATAAAAAAGGAATCTCACTCCCTGTTAGAAAATGTTGCACCAAAAACAATAAAAAAGACCCAAAACAATAAATATAATGGCCTATCCATTGTCAACAGCCAAAACTGCACTTCAATAATGATAATAAAAATAATAATAGAGTTGTACATTTTTTAACTTATATATATATATATATATAGAGGATGGAAAAATTATTGAGATGGGCACGAAACGTGTCAAGGGGTCTTTACATAACACCCCCCACCCCAAATCCGCACAAGCCTGCTGTGTCCCCCCCACTTCTGAAATCAAAATTTCGTCCCTGCTCCCAACAGCCGATCCAGCCCACTCCAGCTGAACCCCAACCTTTTTTTTTTGTTTTTTATTTTATTTATTTATCTCGAAACCATTGAAAAACATCAAATTGCATATGCACTCCTCCATATTCCTGGTGCATAAAAAATTAAAAAATGTGGAATACGATTAACATATGCTGTTGAAGAAAACAATACAAAACATACAATAGATTTTTGAGACGCAACCAGTTTTATCAGTCGTTGTGACCCGGAGACATCTCAGGACCGATTAGGTTGCACTACGGATCTTCTACCCACCTCGTGCTTGGGGTCATCATCTCCCCCTGACATCTCGGATCCAAAAGGGGGTCTCCTAACTGGGTGAGGTAGACAAATCCGACAGATTGTGTCTGGAATGCCTGTTTCTTATTAAGAAATAATTTAGCTTAGCTGCAAACCAAACTCTTTCACCCAGAACGTGTTTTTCTCTCTCTAAGATAAAAACCTTCTGAGACCTACATTCACACATCCATCACACACACACACACACTTCACTTTTAGTTTTCCTCCAGACACAGGTTGCTTTAATACCAAGTTTTAATACCAAAGCTTTTATAAATTGTCATTTATGAATTGTCTTTAAATTGTTAGTAATAAATTCTTAACGTTTTAAACCTGACTCTTCTTTGAAATGAAACAGAGTGGTGTATATTTGGTCACTGAACGAGCAAAGATCACTTTAAATCTTCTGAATTAATAAATCAACTTTTGCTACTAATTTAAATCTCTTAAACTAAATATTAATCTTTGGATTAAATATAGACCAAGCCAGTTCTATCGCTTATATAAATATCTGTGGATATATATATATATATATATATATATATATATATATATATATATATATTAGGGCCCGACCGATATATCGGCGATATAGGGGTCATTAACGCTATCGGCCAAAAAGACAGCCGATATGGCCGATATTACGCTACCTATCCAGCAGATGGCGCCAGCTTTAAGAACTCATGTTGTGTGGCTCCGGTGGCTCCACTCACCGTCACAGCACACATGCAGCGGAGCAGCAGAAGCAAATTCAGTCAAGCAGAGACAAAGGTGATGAGGAAGTAGGAGGTAAGTCTTCAGTTTTAAGCATATTTGTTGTGTCAGTGGTAAGTTGAACGGTAAAATAAGCAATGACAAAAGTATGTTTCCCCTCAACATGCTTCCTAAGTTTATTGTGTGCCTCATGGCCTCGTATTGAAAAGTTAACCTGAAAAAAATAAAATAAAACTGCTGCAGCTCTATGCAGAGCTCACGCTGCTTCCCCTTTTTCTGCTGGCCTTTTTCTGGTAGACATTCTGGAATATTCTCAGACAATTTACCTCCGCTCTTCAGCAGTCTTTTCAAACTCAGGCCGGGGACACACTGGCCGCGGAAGCGCCGCGAAGCGCCGCGAAAATGGGACCGCCTTCATTCGGCGCCCTTGTTAAGCTATTCTATAGACCACATGGGCCGCCGAAGCGCCGCGAATCGCCTCGCGCCGGCGCTCCAGCCCGCGCCGTGCAGCGATCATTTCGGCGTTGGCTCTATTTTTTTCGCGAGCCGCGGGTGAATCGCGTCAATTCTGGCAGGAAGTCAAACGTAGACATAAGAGGCAGGCCGGTAAAGTTAACAAAATAAAGCATTTCAAAATAAAATTCCGCAATAGTCAAATGTGTTCGTAAACAGACACTGCAGAAAAACCACACGAACACGCACACACATACACACACATCGAACTTGTGTGCGTGTGTGACCACGTGAAGGGGGGAGTGGTTTTGGGTGTCTTTTCACCAGAGCAAACAGGACAGAGAGGCAGAATGTCTGAGGCAAGCAGTTAGGATGGATGACTTTAAATTAATTATGGAAGTTGAGAAACACAAGGAGCTGTACGACCCCCGAAAAACATGATTGTTTACGTACCCATGTCGGAAGAAACTGCTAGGATACAGCTGCAGAATTGGAGCGGGTTCCAAGAGATTCAACTGGCAGAAACAACTCATACCATAGGTTCACACACACACGCACGCGCACAAACACTCAAACGTAGGAAAAGAGCTGAGAAAAGGCAGAGAGGAAATGGAGGACACCAAGTGTTTAAAAGAAAAACTACAGCTGAGCCGAGGCGCGCCTCGACTGGGGCGCGTCTGATCTGAACTGAGGAGCGGCGAGCAGCGGCCGAATTTCGTGAGCGATTCGCTTCTCGGCGCTTCGCGGCGCTTCCGCGGCCGGTGTGTCCCCGGCGTCACGCGGTTCACCCGCGGCTCGCGAAAAAATTAGTGCAGACGCCGAAACAAACGATCGCTGCACGGCGCGGGCTGGAGCGCTGAAGCGCTGCAGAATAGGTTAACAAGGGCGACGAATGAAGGCGGTCCCCGTTTTGCGGCGCTTCGGCGGCACACGACCGTTGTCGCAGCTGAGGACGGGCGAGGGGGGGTTGGCAACAAAGCAATGAAACGCTGTGCAGGGAGTCCCCCCTCCTCTCCCAGCTAGGGAGAGGAGTAGGGTCGGTAATACGAGAAAATAAACATTCCTTTCTACAATAGAATAAATCTATTGTATTTTTCAGCCTTATATTTTACATAAGGCTTATACATTTCCACATACTAGTCATTTAACGTTATCTTATTTTTATTTTCCTAATGCTGTCTGCTTTGGAAAGGATCAAAACACAAAAGTGTAAAACTCAAAAGTATTTTAATGCCAAAAATCAGGTGACAGAAATAAAAACAGGTAGCTAGGATCTGAAACCAGCAGAGTATGACTGAAACTGAACCGTATGCACTGAGGAGTGAGAGATGAAAAGAGGACTACTTATGAGGAGGAGCTGTGAGGGGGAGCAGAGTACAACAGGGGAACATAGGAGGAACTATAAATGAAAATATTTTTTAAAGAAGAAAGAATCCTAAAAGGGAAAGAAGAATAACTAGAAAAAAACCTGACAACAAACGGAGTAGAAAATTTAGTGGAAGGAAAAAAAAAAGACTTGAATACTAAATGAGAAATCCTTAACAGCTGGGGAACCAAACAAAAACAGAGCATTTATAAACTTTTAAGTATAAAAATGCCACATTTAATGTATTTTACTTTGTCTTGGTATCAACAGATATATAACTGTACTTTTATGCTGATTATTTTATTACAGATGGAAAAAGAGGGTCGTAGTAAGGTGTGGGCCTACTTCACTAAAGATCCATCCGGTGATGTCATCTGCAGCATCTGCTCATCTTAAGTAGTAGTTTGTGTGTTCTGTTGTTTTTGAGATTGCAAAATAAATCTTATTTGCATTACTTGGAAACCCTAGTGAATTATTGAGACAGTTCTTTGGTGTTTAATATAGAAATAAGTTAGCATCAAAAAGGCAGAGAATGAAGGATTTAATCTTAAGAACATTTGTATTTACTTTTTTTGTGAGGGAGATTTATCGGCCATTATATCGGCTATCGGCCTTTGTTAAAAGTTTTATATCGGTATCGGTCCCAAAAAAAGCATATCGGTCGAGCCCTAATATATATATATAATACAAGTTTCATTTGCCAATTCGTTTGATCTTTCTCAGAATTTATCCAAGCTGAATAGCAACAGCGTTAAACTCTAGTTATGTAGATTAACAACGCTACATACAAAAACAACCATTTTCCATTAAAGTTAATGAAAGCTAAATTTCATTTAATATCAACATCTTATAGACTATTACAGACATTATTTCCTTTCAGTTGTGACCTGCTAAAGAAATTAAATAGGTTCCTTCATACTGCAAAACAAATGCTGTAGCACTAATGCTAACCTAAATTACATTTTATGAATACATTTCCACAAAAGAACCAAAATAAGTTACATTCAATCACACCCAAATATAATGAATACACAAATATTGAGCTTTAGTGTTTTCTTTGCTCAAACTCTATTTGAACAAACGACCCAAACGTTTTAGGGTGTGTAGAAGAGGTTATAGACCCACTTATTCAGCTGTGTTGAAGCAGAAAAAATAACTTCAACAGAATAGGTAGAGGCCCTTGGGGGCTAGGATTTGACACCAGAACTTTAAGATATTTCTGTTTGATTTCATTGAACCAGAGAGTTGGCAATCAGAAAACAGTCAATGTAGGGAAGGATTATTGTAAATTAGCCTGAAGAACCGTTCCTCTGGATTGCTGCACCTGTAACTTAATTAAAAAATAAAAAATAAAACAGGGATGAATTATGTTGGTGAAAATGTATTTCATCAATAAAAATAAAACTAGTCTAAGAAGGGCTTACCAACATGCTCTTGACTCAGGACAAGTGGGCCCATGGACAGGGCTGCAGAATCGTGGAATAATACTTCCCTCTTATGTAGTTTGTGATGCAGATTGCAAGGCTACAAGAAAAAACATTAAAAACTTTGAAAGGCGGACCTCCTAGTGAATTATATACTTTGAACAAAGAAGCAGTTCTTACAGCAGTGCAACTGTTGGAACTCAAGAGGCACAAGTGAATGTTGCAGTGCAGGTAAATCTCATCAGAGTTGGTGAAGGTAAACATCTTGAAGGAGAAACGAGCCACAGTGGAGACACCGTTCTGAATCAGCTTTACAGTTCCATCAGCTGGATTAGGACATCTGTAAACCAGGTAGACGATAGTGTCATGTAGGAAATGAAGAAAATGGCAAGACTAGGCTCTAAAAAATATAAACTAAAGTATATTTTACTCTGAAATGATGAGATCCCAGTGGATAGGGTTGTTTGCATTGGTGTCTGGAGTGGCCCAACAGGAATCAATAACAGTGGAGATCTGGTGCTGATCCACCCCTTCTGTTCTCACCTCCACATAAAACCTATCATCTATTTCCATGTCTATAGTACCTTTCGAGTTGGTGGTGAGAGGGAAGTGGAAGTCTGCATCCTGATAGGGAATCATTGTCACGTTGTACAAACCTCTCCCAGGATGCTTCTTCCTTAAACGGCTATAAAAGTAAATGGAAATAAAAACATTTAGTGGAACCTTGAACTAGCAAGACAATGAAATGTTTAGATGTGTTTCATTCATTTATAAGATGCAGATTACACATCAACAACTTCCACAGGCTTGATATACATGGCAAAACACGTCAAAACTGAAATTAACAAACTGGTTGAAAAGGCCAGTAGATTAAAGGGCGTTTATACCTCTCCAGTGCATTTATTTGCACATTCATGGACACAGCCTGAGTCAAAGAGTAAACACAGGAGAAATGTAGTTGGAGGTCCCTCTCACGACTGATTATACCTCTCTGAGTATCCACGTCATCAAAAATGCCATTCTCATAAATGAGGTGTGTTCCATTGCTCTAGAGAAAAAAACAAATCTCCGTAAGTCTCGAGAAATGATATGCGTATTTCATTATGCTCTCAGGTCATTATCTGTGAATTTTACCTTGAGAACTGTCCCACACAGATGGTCATCATTATCGAACCTGAAGATGAGGCGTCCATTCTGTATTGTCCCATTGCATGTGTCGTCTTTTAGATGGAGATTGCTGGAGTGAAAGCCTGCTTCAAAAAGCTGGCACCGAGACACAGACATAGTCCCTGAGCTGCTGGCACAAGTGATGGTTGAATCTGTTCACCGAAAGAAGAAAAAATTAGCAGCTTATTACTCCCTCTCTGATGGACAACCTACTGAAACGAAATGATGCCATACTTGTCCTGTTTAATTCTGCACAGAGAAAGAGTCTGGTAACTCACAGGCAGAGAAGCACTTGAGGGGCGTGACTAGCCAGCTCAAAATAACCAATCAGAAAAAAGATGGAAATGCTGACTGTACCGCGCAAAGCTGTAGTTTTTTTTAGCTGTACTCAAAAAATGGGTCTGGCAAACATCTTATTTGTTTTTTGTTTTTTAGAAGAAATGCTTTTAGCGCTTCTATGTGTTGTGGTTTTTAAGACATTTAAATCATTTAGAACAGAGAAAAGAGCCACAGTGAACTCCGCGTCAGTCGCCATGTTTATTACAAACTCGGCGTTATGGTGTGTGACATACGCTACTCAGCGCTGATTGGATCAGCTAGAATTCTCACGGGGTGCAGTTATTTGAATAGAAGGGTTCCTAGACCCTTTCTCTGCACAGAATTAAACAGAAGAGGAGTCTGGCAGGCCAGGCTACCAATATTGGCCAGTATTGGGTTGGTTAATATTATGGGCCATTCCCATCTGTACCGGGTTGGCCCGGGCCGGGTAGCTCCAGTCGGCCCCAGCCTGGCCCGGTTGATTCCACACATGCTTGTCTTAAGCCCATGTGGGCTGATTCTACCCACCAATCAGAGGCTTGCTCTAATGGAAGGTGTGAATTTGCTGTCAGCAGTGGGTGTGTTGGCCTTGGTCGGCCTGAAGCAAACCCCCTCGAGAAGAGGGCTGAGAATGAGCCTTGGTTGGCCCGGAAAAATACCAGGCCACCCAGATATGTAAACAACCTACCCTACCCGGCCCGGGCCAACCCGGTACAGATGGGAATGGCCCATTAGACATCCCCAGTTAAAAGTACTACAAAGGTAAAACTGCCATCATGATCAAACATCATCATTTACTTCAGTAAATTTGACGTAGGTGTTGTGCTCACCAAAAATTTCATTGCTGGTTCTTTGATGGTGTTCATCACAAAAGCAGCCATAAACACCATCATTTTTCCCGCACCACTCATGCTCTGCACAGTCCAGCTGTTCACACAGGTCTGACTCATCTAAAATAGCACAAGAAAAATATTAGGAAACAAGGAGATTATGAATTTTAAAACATTTTAGACAATATAATCAATTATGCATATATTAGGCTAATGCAAGCATACCACAGTTTAAATCAGTGCGCCAGTCAGACATGTTTAGACCCCAAACAGAGCAAGTTCTCTCATAAGCAGCGACAGCTGAACACAGCATGCCACTGGCTGGAGTGTAGAGGCAGAGGTCATAAACACAAGACGTGAAGAATGGCTGTGGGTCCGAGTGAAGGTGACAGGAACTGAAAGGACCACTGGTGTTGGTGATCACTCTGCAGAGTTGAGTGTATTCAGCTAAAAAGCGACAGTTGTTCAGTGGATCACGACTTCTCACATCTGTTGTTCCACATCTAGAAAATTAGTAAAATGTTAAACTGTTTGTTGTTACACAGTAAAATGTTGCAGTTTTGTTGGAATTTGGAAACTTAACTTACCCCGTTTGGCTTGTAGATGATTTCCAGCTGTGACCAAAGTGATTGTCATTTTGGGCCAAAGTTCCATTTGGTAACACTTTGTCATCATTAGGGTCACCATTAAAATTCCCACACATCCCAGTGACTCTGTTGTGGTAGTTTTGACTTATTCTGACCAGCAAAGTACTGTGACCATCCAACTGGACAGTGAGGTCTACAGCATCAAACACTATGAGTCCTCCCTGCCTCACAACTTGACCAAAGGTTCCTGCAAGGGCTGGAAGAGTCTCCTCAGCTCCATTTACCTTAGAGGACAAGAGTTTAGAGAATTAGGCAAGATGTCAGGAAAGATGTAGAATGTTTTATATCTTGAAAAAAAAATACCTTGATTCTTCTGTTGAGTCCAATTCTGACATGTACACTCTCTGATTGTTTTGAGAGGTATACATCTACTGATGACACAAATGAGGCAAGGTTGTTGCCACGGTGATTGTTGGTGGCAATTACACTGAACTGAGTTTCATTGTTATTTTGGCGCATGGTCTCAGCGATAATGTAAGAGCATGAGCCCTGGAAATGAGCCAGCGATCCATCAAAGGTGATGTAATGTGAGTCCCCCCACACAGTGCATGTAGACATTGTATCATAACAACCCAGATGGCCATCTTTAATGGTGCACTCTTGTGCATGTGTACACAATACACAAGTACAGCGCAGGTCATTGGGACCGTGACATTCACATCTCTGAGAGCATCCTTCTGTCCAAAAGGTCTCACCAGCCTACAGAATGTGAGAGAAAATCTTTGCAGCTGAAGTTGAAAAGGGTAACACCATATTTTGTTCTTGAATCATTTAATTTGTTCTCAAGTAATCTTTGACTTAAGTTATTATAAGTTAAAAATTAATGTTGTGACATTTATGACAGTTTCCAGTTAGGTTTCACTAGAATTCATTCTACTAAATCACCTCTTCAAAAGGTCTTTATTGAACTTAAGTCTGACCTATTAGGAACTGCTCTGGAGTGAGCAATCCATCTCCAAGCTTCAATCCTCCCCCACTTCCCTCATCCATGGAGTCCTACAAGGTTTGGTTCAGGGGCTTCTACTGTTCCTCCTTTATCTACTGCTTCTCCAGCACATTCTGAGCTTATTTAAAGGAATCTCATACCATCTTAATGTTGATGACATTATACTGTACATCTCCTTTAAGACTCATGAGATGGCTAAGCTGCAGATGTTATACGCCTGCATAGATTGTATTAAAACTTGGATGGCTGGGAACTTTCTACAGCTGATTGATGACAAGACTTAGATCCTTATCTGTGCCTTAGACAAGCTGGTTACCAAATTTGGAGACTCTCTTGGTCAGCTTGCTTTTCACACCAAATCCTCAGTCAGAAATCTATGAACCAGCTCTCACCCTGGATTCTCATGTCAGTTCTCTTGTTTGCTCTTCCTTCTTCCATCTCTGGAACATTGCTAAGCTGAGTCCCATTCTGTCCTGCTTTGAACTTGAGACTGTTATCAATCCCTTCATCTCCTCATGCTTAAGACTACTGCAACTCTCTTTTCACTTGTCTGAGCAGAACCTCCCTGAATGTCTACATGTGGTTCAGAATGCCTGTACTCGGCTTCTGACCAAGTCCTCCAAACACACCCACATCACCCCGCTTCTCAACCAGCTTCACTGGCTGCCAGTCAACTTCAGGGTTCATTTCAAAATCCTGGTTCTGGTCTTTAGGACCTTACATGGACAAGCACCATCATACTTTGGTGATCTCAGTCCCTACACCCCCAGCAGGTCCCTGAGGTCCAGTGACTAAAGCGTACTGGTTGTGCAGCGCACCAGACTAAAGACCAAAGGTGACAGATTAGCTGCTGTGGCCCCCAGACTCTGGAACTCTCTCCCCCTGAGCCTGAGATCAGTGGACTCAAGAGGTCTCCTGTTTTTCCCTTACAGTCTTCTTTTCATGGTGGTGTTTCTGTCATTTCTGTATTTTTCAGGATCCTGTTATTATTGTTTTCTATTTAAATTTTATTCACAATTTTTTATCTAAATTTTTCTTAGTCCCTCCCATTTTTCATATATTTAAAATGTTTTATTAATTTTGTTTTTGTAAAGCTCCTTAGAATAATTTCCCAAACAATTGTCTGTCTGCCTATCTATACTTTAAAAGTTTAACAAATATTTTAAGGCAGTAATTGCAGGGTTTGTGTGCCCTGTCATATTAAAAATGAAAAAAATAAGACTTACATTGTAATACCAGCCTTCAAAGCTGCATCCACAGTTCTCTAGAGGTACACAGACCCCACCACTGAGGACGTAGCCTGTGTTGCAGACACAGCTTTCTTGATCAGGTAGAGGACAGTTGCTGGTGGTATTAGGGTTGACACAGGTGGCTGGACATCCTGTACCTTGGGACTCAAAGTGGCTGTTAGCTGGGCAGAGGATTTCTAAACAAAAGAAAACATTGATGACACTTAACGTGAGCTTCTTAAACATTTATATCAAACAACAGCAGAGAGAAGCGAGGCAGAAAGACTTACCACAGAAGTCAGGACTCCTCCAGCTTTGTGGCTGGATACCATTTTGTTGACACTGACTTGCGTACACATTGAGGGCTTGACAAAGAATGGGCTGATATCCTCCACCTACACAAAGATCAAACACACAACTCTCCACAAACATCTGAGGGGGGAGATGTTGATGGCAAGCAGCAAATGGTCCAGAAGTGTCCTGAATAATACCACAATGCCCAGGGTTTCTGTATAATGCCATCTGAGCTGCAGTGCAGGAAGCACAGGCCAGACCACCACACTGTGCCTCACAACCAGCCTCATCATCAACAAATGCTTGCCAGCTGTTGGCAAAAGCCACATCAGAACTGACAGTTTCTCCTTCACGGGTTTGAAAGTCATCTTCAGGGTGATTGTTGAAGTTTCCACAGAGGGCACATGTTGCATTCTGGTAACTGTAGGGCACACTGATCTGAACATAGTGATTTGCGTCATAAGACACCATCAAGCCAAAGTCAGTGCTGACTATCACAGAGAAACCAGACTCATAGACCTGGATCGTGTCATCTCTTAAGGAGAATGGAGTTGAGGCAAAGAGTCCATTAACCTGTAACCATGACAACATTCAAAGAATTAGAAGTTAAAATATATTCATAAATTATATTAATGTAAATATTTTTAAAAAGAAACAAATGTGATGAGTTCTGCTGACCTTAGCCTCACCATGATGTCCTTTAACAAGCTCAATGGTTTCATTGTAGACAAACACTTTAACAAGTCTAGTCCAGGCAACATGAGTGCTGCCACGGTGTTCGTTCTTGCCCTCTACTCTATAGTAGGGCAGGTCATACTGACACTGTTCTGACAGAACGTAAGTGCATGTTCCTTGAAAGTGAAACAACTTGTTATCAAAGGTGTAGTAATGTGGATCTCCACTGACGGTGCAGGTCTGCCGCTGCACTGTCTGGCAGGAAAACTGAAAGTTAGCTGGCTGGCAGATTTGGGAGAAGGAGCAGGGATCATTGGAACACTGCAGTCCTGCTCTGGTGCAGGTGCACTTCTGGGTACAGGTGCTGTCACTCCAGAAGGAATACCCCAGTTGAACGGAATCACCTTTAATGGAAATCAGTTGCAGTCCTTTTAAATTATTTTATGTAAAAGTGCTTTTTTGATGATTCTCATTATACTTGTTAATAATTTTAATCTTTTTGCAATTTTTGAAAGTATGGTGACGTAAAATGAGGATAGATATAGATGATAGATAGATAGATAGATAGATAGATAGATAGATAGATGATAGATAGATAGATAGATGATAGATAGATAGATGATAGATAGATAGATAGATAGATAATTGATAGATAGATAGATAGATAGATAGATAGATAGATAGATAGATAGATGATAGATAGATAGTCTTACCATCAAAAAGGCAGCCTGCTGACCCATGATCCACACGGAAAGCCCAGCGACCAGGTACATTAACATTACTGTTGAGGCTGAAAATTGAATTGCTACCAGATGCATTGCTAGCAAAAGATCCAGGAATGGTGAAGTGGTGAGAGGAATTGACTGTGTCATACCCAGCCTGAAAATTGGGTCATTTTAAGTCAACGATATCTTAGGTCATACTTTGCATTAGCATAATAAATTTGACTGAAATGTTGCAAATTAATCATGTTTTGTGATATTGCATACATTTTAAAGTTTCTCACCTCTATAGAACTTGTTGTGGCATCTATAGACCCATAATTCAGCAGTACAAAAGAGTGCTGGCCATCAGTTGTCAGGACTGCCTGAAATGTGTTCTGCTGTAAAAAAAAAAAACTAAAAGTTTTAATAATGAATACAATTATCCTTATGAGCTACACAAAATATTTTTCAGCACTTACTGTTCCAGTTGCTGGATAATAGGCAACCTCATACCAAGTTGCTATTAAGATCCAGGTGGCATTAAAGTCAATTCCTGAGAAGTATGTATTGATGTCTTGTGTAACTTGTTGGAGAAAACTGCCACTGGTGTATTGAGCGTAGCAGATGTCACCATTTCTTGTGTTATCCAAATCTGTCCAAAATGGAGCGATGATGTCTCTGTTTCCATACATTGGAAATACTTGAGGAGAATAACTAGACCATGGCTCTTCAAAGGTCAGGTGCCCATTGTGATTCACCTAGAAGTAAAAGTAAGGTGTTACTAATCAAGAGTTTTACTCACACACACACACACACACACACACAGAGAGAGAGAGAGAGAGAGAGAGAGAGAGGGAGACAGAGAGAGAGAGAGAGAGTCTGACAATCACAATTTAGAACATGCTAATTAAAGTGATCATGTTCAACCATCAGTAAGTTTGAATAAAATGGTTATTATTTCTCAAATAAATGAACAAACATGAGATCAGCTTACATATATCTGATTCTTGGTTCTTCCAAAGTAAACAAATGGGTGTAGCAGCAGAATTTGAGGCGAACTTCCATCATCTGAGTGGGAACTTGTGTTCCCAACGATCTGATAGAGTCGTCCATCTATAAAAAAAGGAATCAAACACCATTATTTTTATTAGATATTTATCTCTAGGTTATGGCATTATAATAACACTGTGCATAATTTAACACATTCTGTCTAAAAGAGCTCCATCTAGTGGCAAAACTGAAGCTTGCCCTATTGATTTGCATCTTTATCTACCAAGCAGACAATTTCCAATTACTTTATAGTGTTACTAAATCACTCCACCTAAGAAAACACAAAATTTGAGTACACTATATAATAGCCGATATTGGCATTTATCTTCTTTCAAGCCCTGTCACAACAGCAGGAAAAAAGCCTACATTAAATTACTCATATTATTTGAATTAAACCAAATTGAAAGATATTAAATTTTAGTTTACCTGGAGTCTGATGAACCACTTCCCCTTGGAAAACACAAACAAAGTTTGACTACAATGGCTCACATCATCACAATAGACATTTCAACAGAGTTAATTTAAAGAAAATCATCTAGAAACCACTGGCGTTTAATGATTTATCAAAGAAACAGTCAAATCTGTTGTGTCATTTTTTGTTAATTATTTTTGGTTGCTATAGGGTGTACACAGAGCCTTTGCTCCGGTCACCAACATCAAGTACTGTTCATAGGGCCCCCCAATGCCTGAGTGGGCACAAAGGAGCCCGGCTTCTAAAATCACAATTACAGCAATCGTACTGACAGACCAAACTATACAAAAGCAGAACATTGCTCAAGAAAAAGATGGACCTCTCTTCAACCCCCTGCCCCCACTGGTCTCCAGTAAAGAGAAGAAAGAAGACACAGCAGGAAGACACAATACTGAGATCTTGATGCTGACCCCTTTGACCCTTTGCTGTCTTTCAGACCAGCTCCATCTAGCCCTTGGTAGGATTTCTTGATATCAGCCACTTCAGTTATGTGTCGGTGGCACATCCCATGTAGAAGTTTGTCCTTCCACAATGGTATTTCCTTTGTCTCCTCTTCTGTTTGTAATTGTCTGAGACATTCACTGAGCACATCATCTGTTGGGGCCTTATCCTTGATGTACTTATGGATCTTGGATGTTTAGACAGTGGCTCTCACACTCACTAGTCCACTGCCTCCTTCCTTACAGAAAGTTCACAGTCTCAGGGTGCTGGATTTGGGATGGAACCCTCCATGCAAGATTAGGAGCTTCTGTGGTCTGTATTACTACCTTCGGCCAGCTTATTATTCCTGCAGAATATCTGATTACTGACAGGGTGTAGCTGTTTATTGCCCCGATCTTGTTTTTGCCATTGAGCTGACTTCTTACTTGCCTTACTGGTAGTTATTTGGCTGTGGCTCCTTTCCTTGCAGCTTCATCGAGGTTGACATTTGCTTGTGGGATACCAAGGTACTTGTAGCTGTCATTCAATGTCTGATATTGTTCCTTCTGGGAGTGAGACCCCTTCTGTGTGGACGACCTTCCCTTTCTTTGTCACCATTAGAACCACACTTCTCAAGTTCATATGTCATTCCAATATCAGTGCTGTAGATCCTGGTGGTGTGGATAAGTGAGTAAAATTTTCACTTTTGGAATACAGCTTTATGTCATCCATTCTTCAACTGGTATCTTTAGCCCATCTGGGTGATTATTTAACTGAGGGGTTTCAGATAACCTGCGCAGAACAGCAGTGGTGACAGGTCATCTCCTTGGTATATGCCACATTTGATAGATACTTGTGCAGCTGACCTCACGGGTGGTTTTCCACAGTCCCAATTAAGCTTGCATTGAAGGCTCTCAGAGTCTTGTATATGTTTTACAGTTCCAAGCATTCAGTGATCCATGAGCACAGCATTGAGCCATAGGCTTTCTTGTTAACAATCCAGGCCATGCACAGGTTGGTGTGTCGGGATTTGCAGTCTTGGGTGATACACACACACTCAAAATATTGTTTTAAAGGGAATAATGCATAAATGTTATAGTATTTTATGCAATTATTAGGTTTGTACCTCCAAAATGTCAAACAGGTCTATGCAGGAAAACATTGTTTATGCCATCAATTTTAATCATTACATCCACTCAAGTACAAGTATGATTAATAAAATTTGCTTACATGTAATTGATAGAAGCAGCAGAGGCAGTAAGGCGTTACTTCCCATCTTTCAAAACTAAAAGTTAAATCTGCAAAAAAATAAATAAAGATACATTTAAAACCCTACTGTTTGCAGATAGTTTCCATTTAATACCTGTAAATTAACCTTTCGGTAAACAATACAATACAGTTAAAAATAAGCTTCATGTAATAATAAAATGTAACTGTTATAAATGTAAATAATAACTCAATACCTCTTCATCTGTAACTCCTTTGTCTGCTTATTATCTCATGTGAGGTTGAAGGGATGTCACTGGCTTTTATAAGGTAAAAGTTGGCCCAAGTCCACTAATAGCTGCTCCCTCAATAAAGTGTACTAAAAAAACAAACCTTCCTCATAGGCTAGGTGAGGAAACGTTTTAGCTTTAGCAAGAACTCACCTAACAAGTTTATGCTTTCGGTCTATGCATAGGGTATTTTCTTCATTTCACGTGTGTGTGTGTGTGTGTGTGTGTGTGTGTGTGTGCGCGCACGCTCGCTTGTGTACAATGCTACAGAGCTCTACTCGTTAGTTTTAGAGGTATGGTGTGAATATAGTTTTAGTTAAGGTTAGGGTTAAGAGTAGACTGGTTAGGGTTAGGTTTAGACACAATTCAGTCACTAAAATGAATGGAAGTCAATGGCGGTCCTCACAACGAATGCTAGATGAATGTGTATGTATGTGTGTGTGCGCGCATGCATGTGTGTGCATGTGTCTTCCTCCGTGTGTGTACTTGTTAAAGTATTTGCAAATACTTTGGGCAAATAAAGTGGATAGGAATGTGCAATGTTTTTACTCCTGTGAGAGAAGGATGACCTAGAAAGTCTGAACTCATCTTTCTCTTGTTTGTGTTGATAGTAAAAAAGTGAAAATCAAGACATACCATTATTGTGAGTAAGAGGGCAGCAGTAGCTCAGGAGGTAAAGTGAGTTGTCCAGTAATTGGAAGGTTGTAGGTTTGACCCCGGCTCATGCCAGAGAGCAATACCTGTATCTAATATACTGCCAAGCACTGGTTGAAGCATATCTTAATCTTGGTTTATGCTTGACGTGAGGTCCACGCAGCCCATGGATTCTGCACCACGCATCTAAGAAATTTTCTAACAATACACAGAAAAATATGGCGGACTGGCATGAGCTCGTAGTGATGGAGGCTCGTAAGTACAGACATCTTTATGATTCAGCCCATAAAGATCACCATGATCAAAATATTGTTAATATTTGCTGTCACAGTTGGAAAAGATGGGGACACAGTGAAAAAAATGTTGTAAACAACTGTAATTTCTACTTCTACTACGGTGTAGGGTTGGGTGCATGCCATAGAGCCCTGTGCTGCCCCCTACAGTCTGGGAGAATATAGGCCTCACAGCAGAGACAAGCCACAGATGGTAGGAAGGAAGCATAAATGCTGCCAGTTTCGACGTTCCACGTCTGATTTCCACGCAGAATGTACATCAAGCATAAACCAATCTTTATTTTCTATATTTTACTGAAGTGTTGAACTAAAAAGGAAAAACTCTGTAGCTGCCCCAGGCCCTAGGCTCTGGAATGTGATGCCTTTAAGCATTAGGTCGGCCTCTTCACTGTCTGAATTTATATCTCTTTTGAAAACCTATTTTTAGGATTTGGCTTTTAACTCAGCGTGAGTCTTTTTAGTGCTAGTTCTCAAGGTTTAGTTTTGATGCATTTTTATATTGTGTTTTTTTTAATGTTTTAATTTCTGTGAAGCACTTTGGTCAGTTTTATACTGTTGTAAGGTGCTTTAGAAATAAAGCTGCCTTGCCTTGCCAAATTTAAATGACCCAAATATATCTAACAAATAAAATAGGTTTGATTTAAATGCTAGACATTTTACTGTATTATTAGTTTTATTTTTTACTTAGAAGAAGAAGAAACTATGTTTTATATAGCACCTCTCAAGATAAAAATCATGAGGTGCTTCACAAAAACTGAAATAAAAAAATTAAAAATAACATTTAAGATATTGTTAAAAGATATAACAGTGGTAGAAGTACAAATAATGATATAAAAAATGTGCATTGCATTTGTAAGACCATGTAGACTGTCTTGTGACTAATGAGGACTTTTTACCTCACACAAATACTCTGCTTTTCTATGTAGTAAAACGCTTTGCAAATAATAAATTGGAGCTGAAAAATGCAGAAGTAAATTATATGTGTCATGACGATGACGGCAGGCAGAAATTAAACAAACTTAGCTAGATAGCTTCTGACAATGAGCAAATGAGCTGCAGTCAGGCAGTTCTTTGTTCCTGTAAAAAATGTTTTAATCGTCAATGCATCCTTGTAAAATTATGCAGTAATCATTTTTAATGACAAGCAATTATGAGATAAATGAACAGCCAGAAACATCAGAATGACAGAGATGTTTCTGTTCTGTTTAATTACTGTACAGTAGAAACACCTTAACCCTGTGGGAACTTGGTCTGGTTACAACAAATGATCAAGAAACTGAATGTACACTGGAAATTTTGCTACAATAAATGTAGATTTTCCAGTCATTTTATAGCTTTTATACAAAGAAATGTAACTGTATATGGTTCTGTTTAATAAGCATAAACCCCTCTGTAAGTCAGATTATTGGAATCAAATTTATGTCATTTTTGGTTCTGTTTTAAAATACAGAAAAGGTTTCTTTTTACGTTGCTGCTGACAGTTTTATTTGCGGCTGTGAACTTCCTCAGAGCTGACGTGAACTAAACTGTCAGCAGCAAGGTAAAAAGAAACCTGACTAAAAAAATAAGGTAAAAAGAAACCTTTTCTGTGTTTAAAAAACCCCAACAATGCCGTTAGAAAAGCAACACAGTAAGAATATACCAAAGAGGTTTGTCATTTGTTTCACGACACTGGACCAGTTTTGTTCTTTTATTTGTTTTGAATAAAACACCTTTGCCTTCAGGTTGAAAGCAAGTTCAGCTTGATAATTGTAATTTGTCCTGATATGCCAATATGAGACCATTTATTTATTTATTTTGCCTCATTAAATGCCCAAAAGGTACCATAGGACCCATAAAATACAATAAAAATTTGGAACAAATTGTTAAGCATATATATATATATATATATATATATATATATATATATATATATATATATATATCATTGTGGTCCAAATTCACAGAGGAACTGCATAATCTGTTTAATATTGACATCACTGACACCCTCAACATAGAGGTGAGACCATCAAAGATCATTACTTACTGAAGGGTCAGATGATAAGGGGTGGTTGAGCACACAGATAGCAGCCCATCCAGGTAAGCTAAATTTAATTTGTTTCATTGTTAAAGAATGCCAAAATACTTTTTTCACAAAAAAAATAAAGGTTTCACATATCACAATCTATGTTCTATGGACTGCTATATGTGTAAAATAATTTAGTCCAGGTTTGTAGAGCTGTAATTTCTGAGGTGGACTACTTTATGTGTTCAAAAAAATGTTGCATAGTTCTGGAAACCCAAGTTTTTTTTTCTTTAATTGTTGTTTATAGTGGTTGAAGGTTACAAAAATAGCTTATTGCCTTTGTGTGTCTAATCATGTTATTGTCTTCTTCTTCCTTTTCTCTAAGTACTGAGAGGTGCAGAAGCCTCATCACAGACAGAGCTGTCACTGTGTGCTGTGGTTGCACACGGCGGATCGTGGCGAGCAGATCCGCTGTTCTTTCCCAGGAAAGACGTGCTCTCATGGAGCTGGAGTTCAGTTCCACACCCAAGAAGATGATGGACTGGGACGGGATCACAGAACTCTTCTCCCAGTTTATAGAGAAGCCCAATGTGATCAAATGTAGCACTAGTTCCCTCGTCTGTGACTCCGCCTGGGAACGGGCCAGGAGGAGCAGGTCGTCTAGATAAAACAGGATTCTCAAGCCCGCCGTGCGTAACAGCTGGAGCGCCGCAGCCAGGCATTTGGAGAAGGTGCGTGGAGCCAGGGAGTACCCGAGCGGGAGCCTGTTGTACTGGTACTGAATCCTGTTGAAGGGAAAGCGCAGGAATTTCCTGTGCTTCAGAATTATTGGAACATGGAAGTATGCGTTCCTCAGGTCTATGGACGTGAACCAATCGCCTGGGCGCAAGTAATCCAACACCTGTTTGATCGTGAGCATGCAAAAGTGCTTCACCGCTATCAGAGCGTTGAAAAGAGACGGATCAAGGATCAGTCTGGAGCCACCAGTTTTCTTTGGTACCAGGAAATAACGGGAGTAGAATCCCGAGTTCTCCTCCACTGGAGGAACCCTGGAGATGGCCTCCTTTGACAGGAGTTCCTTCAACTCCTCCTCGAGGGCGGAGGCTTGAGGGCTGATGCTAGTTTTGTCTCCACAATCTCTGAGAACGGGGGTGGGCCAGACTGAAACTGCAGCTTATGGCCGTAGTAAACTATGTCCCGAATCCTTTGTTCATGTGACACACGCAGCTCCAATCTTGGGCGTGTTTTTACAGTGGGCGCGTGCACAGTGCCTGGGCCTGCATTGCATCCAAAATCCAGGTTCGGGCCCCTGCCGCCGTCGCCTGACCCGAAAAAATATTGGTGACGACCCATGGGGGGCCGGTGGGGAAAGGGCAAGCTGCTAATTTGTAATACAGCCGATGCCGAGCTCCCTGGGGAAGGAGGCGTGTGGGCATGAGTCCTGACAGCATGTGACTGTGGTGCTGAGCGAGATTCATAAGGAAGAATGGGTTGCTTGCACGGTACCCGCGAGTGCGGACTACGCTGCCGCGCGTCAGCTGCATGCGGAAGTGGCCCAGAGCGCGACCGCAGGAAAGGCTCCAAAGCGCGGGCCGAGGGGCGGAAATCAGAAATGACAGCTCACTTTGGTGGCCGCTGTGAATTTGAAGAAGCCTCATCGTGCTGGTTTACATCACATACAGAGGGGAGAAAGCTCCGTTTAGGGGCAGAGCGCCTGCACGCTGAGCTCTTTGAGCTGTTGTGTAATGACACAGTCCTCCTCGCTGGATGACCCAAACCTCCGTACGGAGTATGCGGAGCGGAGGAGACCTGTAATGACTTAACCCTAACCCGTTACAGGTGTTTGGAGG